CGCGCATTGACTACGTTTTCAGCCACTCTACGTGCTAGTCAGCTACAGACGTTGGATCTGCATTTCTTTTTTACCGCTGCTATCGCGCACGCATTCCAAGGAAATTTATGTGGGCCACGGGGAATCTCAGCCATTCGTCTCTACCCACGTTCTAACGTTATATTTTAATACACAATATCTCGAGAACGTGTCGAGACGTCGACTTGAAACAAATACGTACTTCGAATAAGTAGTATATTCGATGTAGTACTTGTACTTCAAAATTCTCTGTGCTAACAGCGTTAACGTTGTTTGTGAAATTTCTTCTTTTTGTTAATAAATTTTAAGTATTAAAAACATTTGAGCAACTCGTTGAATTTCATACAAAGTCGCTATGTCATTGATATTCGCTAGATGTTTAAATTGTTAAAGAAATCTTCCAGTAAAACGTGACGTACGATTTCTTTCCTTGTTGCTATTTTATTCAACTTTGGTTACACGAAAATTCAAAATTAAAAAATTGTAATACTTTCGTCGTGTTCATTTTTCATTTAATAGATTCAAAGTTCAATAAATTAGCACAGCAAAGTCATGCATCAAATTGTAAAAAGTCGTTGTAGAAGAAAGACTTCAATCTTCAAATACTGGATTTTTAGCCATGAAAAATATTTTTTAATGTTTTTACATACTATAACAAGAAAAATGTCTGTATTTACTCATTACGCAATGTAGGAATAATGTTAAATTACTAAAATATAAATTATTTTAATATAAATATAAATTATTAAAATATAAATTAAGTTAAATTATTAAAATATGAATTATTATAATATAATTGTTAAAATAAAATGGATGGTACATTCTAAAAGTATAAACTTTAAGCTTTCAAGTGAGCCAAGACTAATTGTACAATGTTTTTAATAAAATTATAAATGTAATTAATATTAATGTCGCTGTATAAAAACAAGGAACTTACATACTTTGAAATGAATTTATTTATTAGAAAAATAATTTATTATTATACAAAATTTTTTATAATAATATGATATAATATAAAATATTTGTTTATTAAAAAAGATAGAGTATAGACATTCGCCAATTTCGAGACAAATTTTAAAAGGATAATATTTATAATTATTTTTCTATACTTCAATCAATGAAGTTAGAGTAGTACTTTACAAGAATAGTATTTTTGTACTGCGATAGATCCATTTTCACATCCTAACAGATCAAGTCAATACGTTTTTTAAAAGATCCGTCGCGACGTGTGGAAAATATTCAGAATATATTTCAAGAACGAAACGCAAGGCAGCTCATTTCCAGAAGTCGAAGGTACGTTTCGACAAAAAAGCTATTCCCACCCATCGTAGCGTGGGGCACGCCGTTTTTGATCTCCGTGAACCGAACCAGTAAATCGTCGGAACGTTTATTATTTCGAATATCCGGAAACGCGTTCGTATCGGGAAATTGTTTCTTATCAAGTGGCACGGCGAAGTGAAACGCGAGACTTCGGTTTGCTTTAGAAGAGGAAAGTGAAACCTGCATTCGACACCGTGTGCCAGGCGAGGATTTCCACCTCGAAGGAAATGTCTCGACGTGGCTTTATTTTAATTTGCATGCAAACGTTTCTCGAACGTCAATGTTTGTATGCAAATGACGGTCTATCTTATCGACATCGCATTGCGGATACTTGCTTCCGAAATACCACAGCAGTCGATGTTTCCCCATTTTCTCAACAGCCAGAGCAACGAGCGTTTCGACGTGGAAGAAGTGACGCCTATATCGCTGCTTCGATGATTTTGTTTCCCCTCTATTGAATCGTATCTTTTCGAGATTGTAAGTTCCAGAGAGATGACCAGGAGATAGCAGCAAAGAGAGTGGAATCACGTACTCTTTTTTTTTTCTTTTTCATAATGAATTTTTGCTCGAGGAACTTGGAAATGGAAAAAGTTTGTGAGACATGTAAAATATTGAAAGTATTTGTAATTGTGTTAAACTTGCGTAAGATCCGCGATGAAACCTTACCTTTCTGCCTGGAAAATATTTATGTGGCTCGTTTATAATTTTGATAATTCGCAATAGCTGTCTCGCAGAATCGCATTTTGTGAGATTAACTCACTTCTCGAGGATGAGCGTGTGTGATCGACACGCAAGCGATTGAGAGAAATCTCGAGAGCTTTTGATTTCGCAAACGTCGTTCAACGTCTTCATTTTCAGACGATACTTCAGCAGCAGGCGGCTGGCAAAAACAAAAACGCTGATTACCAGCGGCGTTAATTACGGCAAGAGCTACGAAGGTGGTGCGCAGGTTTTAACAGTTTCTTTCGAGGAACGCTGCCGTGCCATTAATTGCACGAGATAAGCAGACAAAACGATCCCCTTAAACGATCCGCTCCACGTTTCATTTCCTGATAATTGTTGTACGCCGACTCGAACGATTAAGAGCGGGCCAGCGCCGAAAATACGGCGGCGATACCTTTAGAATTCCTCGCCCGAGCTTCGTACATTTTTCCAGCATGTTGGCCAACGTCACGCCAGTTTACGGTAATGGAATGAGAGGCAAGCGGAAATTGCTTAGGCGAAAGAAACGAATGTAGCTGGAAGTTCAAATTACAAGGGTAGGGCAGAAATGACGGGGTGGGGGAAAAAAAAAAAAGAAGAAAACTGGAGGAAAACAAGAACCGAAAGTATCGTCTGGGTCGAACGAATTAAGTTGCCCGGCGTTCGTCGGTCAAAAACAATCTTCCAAACTTAATATCCCACCACGCGTTTAAACTTCCTTCCCTTGATTTTCTTCGGAGCAAGGAATTCTCTCTCTCTCTCTCTCTCTCTCTCTCGAAGAAAAAAGAAATTTTTTCGTTTAACGTGAACCGGGAAACCTTTAAAAATGAATCAGACCAAGATTGCGGCGAAACTTGGGTGGGTACGTTTTTTTCCCCCGAGCAAGCAAGCGTTTCTGGCTGAGAAATTATCGAGGAAAAAACCGGGCGGAAATTTGCATGAATTTCCCGAAAAATTCCATGGTCGATCGACTGTGAGATTAAACCGGCCACCCTGTCTGGAAACATTCCTCTCCGTACACTGTCGGACGAAGTGCGAGACCACGTCGACCATGTAGCATGCGGCTCTTCAGTCGCAGTTCCGTTCGTTATGCTAAATCATAATTGAAGGCCCAGATGCCAAGATCAAAGGGTCAAGAGCGTAGCTTTGATGAAGGACCGGTGTATCGACCGTTCTCGAACCGATTAACATCCGGTCCGTCCCAACAAGGGCCTGCTTAACGTAATTGCTAATCCCGCGAGAACATAGATCTCTCCGCGTTCCAACTTAACCCATCCTGCGGATACAGAGGAGGTTAGAAACGGGCCTTGAGCGCCAAAGATTTTCGTCCGCCTAAGAAGATCTCGCGAATATCCGCTTAATTAAAATACGACTCCAAGAGCAGCTCACGGCTATTCCAACGCGACCGTTGCTGGAATTCGTTTGCAACCGCGTTTCCTTCGATCGCTACCGACGAGAAAAACTTGTCGGCCCGAAAATTTGTCGTTTTCAGCCAGTTACCATTTTCGTTGTCTTTCAGTCCAGGTTTCTTCTTGCCTGTCCTCGTTCTTCCTTACCGTTGGCGAAAAGAAGCTCCAATTAAGAAGGAAAATTCGCGAAATAAAAAAATATTTTTCATATTAACAGTTTTTTCAGAGTTTCTTCAATGTTTTTTTTTTCATACAACTATGTATTTTCTTTTATTGCATCGCGTAGCTGGTGGTTCAGATATGTAAAGAACGTGACCTGGAATATTTAAAAGTATAATATTTTACGTGTATAAATTTATGTTTATCGAGATCACAGATTTTGGAACAATCGAGAGCTTTACAAATATAAATATAAATAAACATCGTTTATTATTTATTACATCGTCAATGATAATCTCTTCTAGTAGCTTGAAATCTCAATCAATGTATAAATTTGTCAGTAAAAGATCGATATTCATGTATAATAAAATGGTCAGTGTTTGAGAGAAGCAGTATATACAAATCGTAATTGTCCATCACGAAATACCAATGCAAAGCTGATCAAAAGTTTTTGTCAAACCGCCAGTGTCGTGAAAAGAACATGTGAGAAGAAACTGTTAACAGCGATGGAAATAAGAAAAATATTGTAGCTAAAGTTAATGAAAATGCGAATCTAAGATAAGTCGAGCGTGGGAGTGGCATTTCTAAAATCACTACAATACAGATATTGAAAGGAGAAAAATTTCACCCGTATCGTTTATCTCTAGATCCAGATCTTCACGGAACAGATTTTCTATCGTACGTATTTCTCTCAGTGGAGTTTGTGGCAATATGGAAATAACCAATCATTCTTTAAAAGGCTTAAATTTTTGGACATCAGCGTCATGTTCTTTGCATATCTGAAAGTATTTTTTTACTAGCTACACGATGCAATAAAAAAAAAAAATAGTATCAATGGATGAAAAACAACGAAAAAAAAACTGATGTTGGAAAAATATATATCCTCACCAGTTATTGGCTTTTCGATACCATTCAGGTTAGGTAAAAAATATTATTTCTACAGTTCACACATTTCGAAAAGATATTTAGATGGCCACGGATCAGCCATTATTTACAACAACGCCACGTACGATTAAAGTTTAATACTCAAACGAACCTTGGAAGCCAAGTGATCCCACGTTACACAAACTTGTCTGACCCTCGTTAAACGCGATCCTTGGCAAATACGCGTATGTCAACGTGTCCGCGTACGCCGCGTTCGAGACTGTCGTAACGTTACGAGGTGCGAAGTCAACCGTTTAATTAATCATTTCTTTCCGCCTCTTGAGGAAGAGTTTGTCACCGTAGAACGCGCGAAAGCGCGTGCAGCTGCGGCGAGCGATCAAATCGACCGCGGCGTTTCGCAAACGAGCCGTGACCCGAGCGAAACAAAACGAAACGAAACGGTGATACGACTCAACACGAGCTCGATTTACGCGAGAGGAGTTGACGTGGTGTTTTCTATGCTCGTAGGTAAATCAACGGGCCTTGTTACGACGACGAGGGTGACGCACGCGACGCCAGCAGCCCTTTACGCCCACGCAGCCAGCCGTTACTGGGAGGACGACGGCAAGGTGCCACCTGCTGCGCGGACCTCCTGCAAGGACATCGCGCGTCAGCTGCTCGAGGACGAACCCGGCCGTAACATCAACGTACGAAGTTACATATATACATATCCCCCGATTTAAATCTCGAGAAAGTTTCTGCGCGGTTCCTCGGCTCCCGTTGATCCGTTCTTCTTCCGTGGTTTCTATCGTCGTTCGTGGCCGAATACGTGCGAAGATTCTCCAAGAAGCGGGGTGGAATCCATCTTTGCCATCGCCGATCCGACGTGATTCGACGAATCGAACCCGGTGCCCGAACTCGACGGAACTCGACTATCTCCGGGAATTTCTATCGGTCGTGCGCCTTTCTCTCTCTCTCTCTTTCTTTTTTTCTCTTACAGAGAGAGAGAGAGAAAGAAAGTTTCGATAGGGACGATAGGACGAGCGTGACGTGGAATCGTTTCCAACTTGTACGGCGTTTCGGGATCTCTTTGCCAATGAGGATTAAGCCCCCGAGTGCATTCCGGAAAGATTTCCATTCGTTTCGTAGAGTCCCGCGTGATTTTTAGCCGCCGAAACCGCTGAGATCTGGAAAACTCGCGATCGAGAGAGAAGAGTAGTAGTCGAGATAGAAGGAGGTATTTAAAGTATTTCAAGACGCGCCGTAGCTCGTCGAACGCCCACGTTTAAAACGATTCGATCGTAATTTAGTAACCAACGTACCGTGAATGCCTCGAAATTGATAGTTGCGCGCGATCGTGGATGCTTCGGCGCAATTATTTTCCGCGGCCGCGTATGCGTCGAACGGGAGGAGGGTTTTGACGAATTTTCATTAAGTAAAAGTTCCTCTCTCTTTCCCTCTGTCTCTCTCTGAGATCGATGAAAATTTAATCGCATCAAACGTTCGCCTTAATCAAACGTACAAATTAAAGGCTTGTCAATAACACGCACGTGCAATTTGAACGTTTTAATCGTCGAAATGATTTGAATTCCGTCGACGCTAATGCGACGTTTTTTTAATTCGGGATTTTGTGTGTGTCGATAGGAATTAACTCGTCAGTGTAACGTTGTTAACGAACGGCCTCCGATTTTGCAGATGAAAATTGCCAACAATTGGTGTTTCGCCGTTTCCGTTCTGATATTTATTGAACATCTCGTATTATTATATCGGTTTAAAAATGGATTCGCCGGGGATACACATGGGCAAATAATTTCGCGTATATTCCGGCCGGCTCGCGAATCGCTCCGCGCTTCGGAATATTCCGAACGGCCGGGAAAGAAGCGCTAAAAATCCGGGATTAAAGCGGCCATCGTGCCCGGGTGAAAGAGATTTCGAAACCGACAACGCGCACCTTCCATCCCGCGATTTATCGACAACGCCTTACACGCCGCGTCGTTCCGATTTCACATTCTCGTGGAAAAAGTAGAAAGAAAAAAAAAAAAGAAAAAGAAAAACAGAGAAAGGGGTAAAACTTATTGAATCGCGCAAGTGCGCCTCGCCGTTGCAGAAATTGATTTCTGGGCGGCAAAGTAGCCCGGCCACCGTGAAAAATTCCCCTCCCCCCGCCGCCCGCCGAGTACCATAATGTACAGATTGCGTTCGCTCGACGTCGAGCACCGGGAACTTTCCGCAAGTTGACGCTACGACAGGACTATTCGCGACGATGCGCCGATTTCACGCAAACGAGAAGCTCGAGATTTCTGACGCGTCCCTTTGAAGAAGTTCATTTATCCGAGAGCAATCGAATACCCTCGCTGGATCAAGTGTAACGTGAGGTGAATCTTCAACGCTGGAACTATCAGCGACCCGAGTGCAAAACCCGTGCCAGGGAAATTAAAATGCAAAAAGTAGGAACGATAAAGAACACAGATTTACGTGTACAGGATGTCTCATTTGCTTTCGAGATTTCAAAGTGATCTTCATTCTATTATTTTTTTTACTTTTTTAACGAATGTATTTTTTTTTTAGATGAACATGCAGCCGATTGCATCGATCGAGATTATTATTTAGAATATGAAAGATGAGACAATTTAATCTTTCGATATGTTCAACGAGGATAATTTTTGAAAGACAATAAACCTAACCTCGAGGTACCAGTACATGAAGGGCGATGAGTTCGTCATGGGCTGCGTGTTCATTTGAAAAGAATTCAAAGTGACGAGATTTGTAATCACCGAAGGGTGGCAACTATCTCTCTCAAAACAACAATAAGTTTTATTTGAAACATTTCTTTCTGTAATGAGTGCATAGTTTAGGGACACTCTGTATATCTTCTGAGAAGTCATTCAAATATCTAAAACCCTTAAGTTTATGAAAAATATAAAATATATATTTACTTAAATTTCTGCAGAAATTATGAATTGGCCATTTTGATTACTCCGGTGTTAAAACAAAATATGTAAATAAATACGTTTGTAAAATCAGAATCAAAAGATGTCGTTCAAATCCTTAAAAATCCGCAGTTTATCGGCCGGTGAAGTTTCTGCAAATAGTTAGGAATTGGTCATTTCGAACACTCTGTGGTAGTTTCAGCGTCCGTGTTGCATAATAAAGGAACGCTGCATTTCGGCGAATTTCCTGAGATCTTCGAATCCACGTACACTTGCACGGGTAATGTTTAGGATGAAATTATCACGTGCGACTTACTCCTTTGTTGGGTACTTGGCGCCGGGAGACTGAAAATATGATTAGAAGAGCGAGAATATAACTTAACTCGATGAACAGTCACGGTACAATAAAACTATTTGATTTAGCGACTAGAACAATCTGCACGAGCGACGCTTCTAACGAGATTACGTTATATCACGAGAGTATATTTCATAGAGTGAAACAGTTGTTTGACTCGCAGAATTCAAAAATGATATTTAGTTAAAAACTAGTGTAACACATACACACACACACACACACACACGCTATAGTTGGTTAATTTTAGCAGCGTAAGACACATCGCGTAATTCGAATTCATCAAATTATCATTGACTCCGTTTACAAGTTCAACAGGTCACTTACATACTTAAAAAAAAAATTACCTAAAATCGCAGAAAATCATTTCGAAATTTTCTCGATCGAATCCTGATTTTCGTTGATGACACAAAATAATTGTCAGCACTCCAATGTCAAGTTTCACCGGCGTGAAATCCCGGTAACTACCGTCTCAGGATCTCGATGCAACGATCGATGCGACGAACGAGTCTCATCGCGATACTCTCGCGGAACGTTGCGGATTGCGGTCGTTCAATCAGCGGAAGTTGGGATTTTCGGCAGGTCAATCGGTCCGGGAGGAGCCCTGAACGACGTTCTCGCAGCGGCGTAGCTGGAGGAAAAAAAGTTCGTTCGAAAGATCGCTTTTATTCGAAACTTCTATGCAAAACTTCGTGCTCGTTAAAGTCTGCTTAGTCGGAGTTCTCGGGGGAATTCGCCGGCTAGATAGAAGAGAAATTAAAGGTCCACGGGGATGACTTTCCCGGCGGATTCGTGATCCTACGATCGAGGAGTCCTGCGAACGAGGTGAAATGTATTTCGTGATATCGTGCAGAGTGTGCAGACTGATTTCATTTCTATTTTCACGTCTCTATTAACCTATTAATCGGATCAGATCGCCCCTTAACGTCAGAACTACCAAAATGGTCAAAATGACCAATTCGTAATCTTAGATAGACACTGCAAAAGACAGTGCGTTTCAAATGATTTTTCGTAAAATGCGTAGAAAATATTACAGAATGCACTAAAGCTTTTCTATCTTTTTCTTTTCTTTATTTTAATGTTTCTGATGTTGTGAAATTTTACGATCGTCGGTAGTTTTAATGTTAATTTTAATGTTAAATAGGATTTTCCATGATCGCGGCGTTACAGACCTCGATGGAGATGAATTGACTTGAAACGTCACGTACGATAATTTTTATGTTGGCCGGTCTTTCGCTAATGGAACAGAGAACGTAGAAATATTTATGTCACGAGTATATTTAGGTTTCCGTATGTACATTTATGCGTATAATGTTATGTTCGACACATTTTCGTGCATCGAATTTGCTCGCGAACGTGCAAATATCCGCAATCTAATCGATTATGAGAATAAAAATCGCGTCGATCTTTGTTTTCATGCAGATTCGGCGGATTTTGACAATTTTATATACAATTTTATTACAGAATATTTTATTGCATTCGGCGTGCTTGCGTTTGCCGGTGAGTTTTTAGCTCTGTACGTTTCAAGCTCATTAGTATACGTGTTTTTTCAATTGCTTCGTTCGAGGGAAAGATCGTCCGTTGGCAGAACAACAGGGATCTGGACGAATAATCATCGTTTCGAAATTCGTTACAGAAAGTCAAGCGACATTATAGACAATGCTTAGCATTTCACAGAAAGGTTAACAATTTCACGTTGCATTTGGATTTAATGTGTTCCACGTGTTAATACAATGCGTTTTTTTTTCAGTTGACTTTATTTTTTTTTTTTTTTTTTTTGTTCGTTGCTTTCCTCAGCTTGAAAACATGTAGAAGAACATTCTGGCATGAATGATTCTCGCGGTGAAATAGAACACTGGGACTCTTTTAAATAACGGGAGGGGAAAAGAAAATTTCCGCTAAAACAACGCAACATCTCGTATCGAATGAAACAGGAGAAAAGTGTTTAATTAAGAGAAAAAGGGAGATATTTTCTACATTCAATTTCTCTGCGTCAAATGTACGTTCGTTAATGCGAACAAACAGTCCAATCCGAAGGAGAACGTGTAACGATTTTGATAAAAATGCCGCGGAACACATTGTGCCTTCTTCTTTTTTCATCAGTAATAAAATATAAATATAAAAATGTGTAATGTAGGTCGCGTGCACATAATTCTTTTTTATATGCACGACTTTCTGTTTCGGTCTATCCGTGGTGGGAAAGGACAAACCAAAAGAGAAGGAAAAAAAAAAAGAAAGAGAAAAAGGAAAGAAAGGAAAGAGAAAACAAACGTTGCAATCACCGAAATGGAAAATCTCACGGATGAACGGGAAGAACATTTCTCTTCGGTTGACTTTGAAATTCTACAAAATTGCTTTTGGGATCACGTTCTCTGATGGAACACAAACACGTGCGCACACGTCGGAAGAACATTCGAAAATAGGAGATCCGAAAATGAAAAGCGCCCCGGTGAAATTCCTTCGCGAACGATCAACTTGCTGAAAATTTAAATTTAAAACCGATTGTTAGAACGAAATTTCGTCCGCGTGTCGACGACTAAACGTAAGATAAAAGTCTTGGCGATTGATCCAGCGCGAATCCTCGACTCGTTAAAAGCCACGATTAATTACAGAATTAATAATAATAAAATTAGTAAAATTCACAATGGACGAAATGAATCTTGCTATAATTCCAAGTAAAGTTCAATTACTTTCAAACTAGAGGTTAAATTAAATAAATTTAATACAGATTTAAACGATCTATTTACTATTTCTGTTCGAACACAGAAGAAGGAAAGAAAAAAAATTGAAAATTACAGATAGAATCACGAGTGCGAGAATCGGTCGCGAAGTATTGTCGCAGAAACTCTCAGAAAGGAATCACGGTTTTCGTTTCCCCGCAGATCGAGTCGTTCGATCGATATGTTCGACCTGCTCTGCTCTTCGCAGAATCGAAGGTTAATTCCGTGAAACCGCGAGCCGCCTAGCGTATTCGTACGCTTGACAAATGCTTGAGTTTATTACTTTGGAACACGGTTTCATCCGTCTCCCGGTAAAATACGCGGGGCAATGAAATCACGATCGATCGGTAGGTGGTGCTCGGCGGCGGTAGACGTCATTTCGTGCCGAAAGTGGTCCAGGATGTGGAGGAGCCGGATAAAGAGGGACGACGATTGGACGGAAGAAATCTGATCGAGGAATGGTCGAGGAACCATCGGCTGCGGAACGTGGCCGCGAAATTCGTGGCGAACAAGGAGCAGTTCGACAACGTCGACCCACGGAAAGTGAACCATCTGCTCGGTAACGTACAAGAAACATGTTTCTACATTTACAGAGGAGGTAGCAGAGGATTTATTAGCGATGAATTTCGAAACGGGACACGTGACACGTACACGCGAACACACCGTACGTGATCGAGACTATTTGACTCGCTTATATCAGGGCCACTTACACCCACGAGTAATATTGTTTTCTTTTTTTCAAATTTAATAAATATTGCCATTTACTAGACAATAATTTAAATAAAATAAAAATTTCGTGCAGTATCAGAAAAACGATATTACTTGCGGGTAATCTCTTACAATTTGATTGCAACACGAAAAGGAATTGGAAAGAAAAGTAACTCGTTTGATTGGTCTCTCAATTTTCTGTAATATTCCTCGCGCTCGATGTGTTATCCATTCGTAGAGTTCATGCAGAAGTTGCGTAACAAAAACTTGTACAACTCGTTTCTGAATGGGCGTTCGGTGAAACAACGGAAGAATAATATAGGTCGTTGGAGGAATAACGGCGATTGAATAACACGGATTACGTATTGTGTCTTTCGGTAATTATCGGTTGTGCACGATTACGTTAATCCTTCAATACAGCCGGCTCTTAGTTAGTCTGCCCTAATTATGATCGGCGTAACGTTTGAATTTGAGATTACACTCGGCTTATCGATCAAAACCGTTGATTCCCTTCGTGGCTGTCTAATAAGCATCTATAATATTGGCTGACAACTAATTGAGCGTAACACGTCTCTGCTACCAATATATATTCCGCGAGCGTATTTTTACAAAACCTCGGTCCGTGCACCAAAATCATGACGCAGAGCCGGCGAAAGGTTCCTCCCGATCGATAAATTAATAACAAGTTTCATAACGAAATTTATTAACTTCCAATCTTCTGTTACGCAACTAATTACTTTACTATTAATTATCATTTTAACAGTGGAAAATAGCCCGTTGCTCGCGTTGAAACTCTGTGTCACAATCAATTAGCGGGCTCGAGCGTGGAGAGGAGAGAAAACGAATCGACAAAAGTTCTCCTCCTTCTCGTGGAAATTCGGCCTCGATCGACTCACTGTTTTCCACTGTTTCAGGGCTGTTCTCCTATTCCCACATGGACTTCAACGTTGACCGAAACACGAACGGAAGTGGCGACCCGTCGCTGGCAGAAATGACGATAAAGGCGCTTCGTATACTGGCGAAAAATCCCGAAGGTTATCTCCTCTTTGTCGAAGGTACGTATGACACACGAAAGACTTACGATTCTAACTATTTCGCGGAATATCTGCTGTGGTCGTTGCTATCATCATCTGTTCGGAGATTACGACAGGAAAGTAGGGAGAATGTAGAAACTGATCTTACGATTAGACGAGGTCAGATAATCGAAATTTAATTTGTACGTCTTCACGTACAAAAAAAGAAAAAAAAAAAGAGAAAAGAATTGTTAAGTTGAAGAAAAACTTGGCAGTCTACTTACTTCGTACTTAGTTTTCGTCGCTCTGCGAGAGAACTCCACGATCGACGTAGCGTATGGCGCATAATTGAAATCCTTCGATGGTAGAATGCGATTGAGCTAATACTCTCGAGGGTGTTCCTTTTGAGGGTAGGGAAACGCGAGTTTCCTGCGCGAAGATTGAGTCAGCGTTCTGTACTTTATCGAGTTTATAGCTTTCCGCGTGCGTCTTCCTTCCTTTCCCCCCGCTCTCCTCTCCTCCCCGCCCCGCCGGTAACCAGTATGTACATCTCACGTTCTTTCGTCGCCGGGAAAAAACGTTTCCTTGACTTCAGCGAAGATACGATTGACTTTTTTCCTTCTCAGGAGCACAAGGACGAGACCTTTGAACCAGCCATTCGCGCGAACATCGTGAACTCTTCTCTCGCGCGTTTCATTCTTCGCATGTAGGACGGTGATTGCCCCCTCGTTAAAATAAAATCGAAGTTCCCTTCTGAAAGTAAAGAAGCAGTTTGCAGTCCGAAAGTTCGGAATTAGCTCCAAGCTCGAGCGATCTACGAGCAAAAATTAAAGCATCCCGAGTCTTTGTCGCCTTTTATCGTTCCTTTTGTCCGATCAAACCGCGAGCACGGCGTTTGCACGCCCTTGCAACATCCATTCGTCGCGAATCAATCAGCTTTGCCCGTGCGAAACGTTGATTAATCCCCTTCGTGACAATCGATCTCACTTGGGCGAATCGCATCCGATTCTCGTTTTGTTGCCCCTCCGATCGCCTTCCGTTGCATTGCTCAACGTCCACGCGTCTTTCGACATTGTCACAACTTTTGCAACGCTCAATCCCATCACGAAACAGTAGATATTTTTTTTTTTTTTGTTGAAAATGATGTCGGTTATTATCTTTCGTTTTCCATCGTCTCGCTTTTGTACAATGTCGGCCTGATAGCAAGTGATATTAACGCGTTCACCTGTGACCGGAGATTGTTTTCTCGACGGTGGTCATTAGTAACTGGAGTGCTTCAAATGTTTCGAATTAGCAAAATAAAATGACTATCGTCGACTAAAGAAATTTTGAGGATCATAGCTAACTTAGACCGTGGCTACCAACAAGATCATCAACTATGGATCATAAAATACAACCATATTTCTTTTATATCTTTTATATTATTTTGTCAATGTATATCATATGCAGATCAGCTATATACACACAGTTTCATCTAGAATCTTCTAGACGAAAGACGATTTAGGTTTCTTATCAGCATGAAGAAATTTATTGTCTTATTTTGGATATTCATGGCCGAGGATCACGACTCGTCCGCTTTTTCTTGCTGGCAAGAAGTCCTAATGCCCGCCACGTTCTATCGCGATTATTGCGTCGCGACCACTTGTTGTCATTCCCAGCCACTGACTAGCAAACTTGTTATCTATCCTCGTTAGAACAAATCGATATTTTAATGACAGCACTTTTCAGTTCAGAGCAATCAAACGGCCCGTACTTGAACACGTCAAGTGTTGTGTCGGTCACCGACCAAGCAAATTTAGTATACATGTATTAAAAATTCAAAAACTTTAAAATTACAGAAAAGAAGTTAGTAGCTGAATATTGCTTTTATTGTTATTATACAAATTATTATAAATTATATTATAAAAAATTTATTATACAAACAGTATAGTAATGGAATAGTAATTTTAATAAGTTTTCTTAAAACAGTTTAGTAAGCAAAGATGTGGTTTCTCCTTTACACCCATCACAGAATGTTGTAACTTACTTAGTCACTATTTAGTTTCTACTATTGTTTCTTCCAAAGAGTGTTACATTTCTTTTCTACCAAATTTTTACAAAATTTTCTGACTTGGGGCGCGCAACTATATCGAACAGCGTAAAGGTAAACAAAGTACGCATGGCACTTAACGTATTAAAGTGATTGGCTAGAACTCTGACTAGCCAATTTGTATAAAACAGGCAAAACTGCCGTCAGCGGTGAATTTTAAACAGAGCAATCTCTGTAATTACAACGTGATTTCCGACCTCATCCTTGAATCGCTACACTTTACCAGTGCGGTAAAGTTTTCTATGTATTCCTAGGCCTCAATAATTAGCGCCTCGAACCGAATCGACAACATTCGGTTCCATCGAGCCACAACAATATGTTTAGAATAATGAAAATTCTCTCGTGGCCCTTCGAGAACATCGTAGCATGGGAAACTCGACGTGTTAATTTCTTCCATAATGCATCGTTGTCTTCGCGTTGTCGTTGTCGTCGTCGAGCTTCGAGCTTCCTGTTAATTCGCTGCAGCGTCGGGTTAACCCTTGGAGATACTCGACGAGCAACGCTGTCGGTTCAACGAGCATCGTACGCGGACCTAACGTGGGAGAAAATCTCGTGCTTCCAGATAACGAAATACACGTCGCTGGCGTAATCAGTTCCGGCACGTCGCGTCGTTCCACTATCAGACGACGGGTGGAACACGCCGCTGGCCGGGTGGCAGTTCCTTCACCTGAGGATCGTCTTCGTTCGTGGCTGCCTTGTAAACGATACCGAGATCCGGGTGCAAAGTTTCCTGCAGCGTGGCAACTGTTGCTGAACGTCCCCCGCCCCCTCCTCACCAGCTGGAAAACTCGTCCCTTTACGGATAAATTTTGGCACGATATCTCTGGCTCGGTTGAACGCATCGAATGTATGTATGTATATATGCATCACCCCCTTGTCGCGAGTCTGCTAAAATTTCGGTTACAGAATCAGTTGACTCCACAGTTTGGCCAACTACTAATGTATCTTGCCAGCCGAGTTTCGTTCCATTGTTGATCCACGATCCGAGATATCGCTTGATTTGTTACACTGCGATACGATCTAGCGCGGTGGGATTTAATTGTTGCGAGTGTTTCCAGCGTTACGTGATAAATATCCATTGTCTTCTTATCGTTTTCGTAAATATTTTTGCAATTCTCCTATCGACGTTTAGCAGATTTAGTATCTCTAAGTGACGCAGAGAGCAGAGAAACTGACATATACGCGACACTTGTCGACTTTTAAAGGCTCGAAACGAACATTCTGATTAGCAATTAAAACACGATATTTCGCGGAATAACCGTGTCAGAGATAAATCTCCGAGTTTCACATGGTAACGTAAGATATTTGAAATCCACGGAGGAACAACAATTTCAGTGAAACTCGTTCGGTTGATAATAATCGCAATTTAGACACGCGGCGTGAAATATATTCCGCGTTATTCGGTTCACCTGGCAACTGGCCCCGATGAAACATTTCGGTTATTCGTCAGAACACTACGTTCCGCCGGATTTTTACCATTTTTTTTTTTTTTTTAATTTCTTTTTTCGTTGCTTCCCCACATCCCCCCCCCCCTCTCTCCTCCTCCATTTTGTTCCCCGTTGAAATCGTTCCCATCGAGCCTCTCTGCAAACTGAAAGTTTTATTTCGCGATGACGACCGAGTCCACGTGGAAATTCCGAATAGCCCGCGCAAATGAGGAAACGGAGTGGGGATTTAGCTTTTTCTCATCGAGAATTCGTCCAACTTTATGCCGTATAAAAATAAGCAAACCGTGGGTAAACTGAATGCCAGCTGGGATGGGCTGTGCGCAGGCAGCCGCAGAAAAAAAGGAGAGAACAAGCGGATCGTTTTTCCTCTGGGCATCTGCGGGATGTCTTATCGTCGTTCTTGTTGCGCGGCTGCTTCTGTCAACATCGGAAGGAAAAACGCCGGGGGACGAAAAACCCCGAGCGTAGGAATTAGAGAACAACGATTAAAATGACTGATTTCCCCTATTTATTCCCGGCTCTGTGGTCTCCAATTTCATGCTGAATTCGCGTGAAAAACGCAGTATGATCGGCTGATATCTAGAAATTATCAGACTCCCTTTGCCACTTTTTCTTAATTTTTAGTGACAGCTTTTGGAAAATATATCTCGCTCCCTTTGCCAAAGTGTGAGGTCATGAAATTGCGAAACACCTCTCGGCAACTTTATTTTCAGAAGGGGAATTCTCTTGTTCAATTTTCGGCACCCGAAGCGAAATTTGCATCTTGGCCAAACACTCTTCGCTCTTTTCCAGGCGTGTTTTCCCTCATCTTCGTCGTTAGAGCTGGAGCAACACAAAGATGGGGAAAAAGTATCAATAACATCAAAGAAACCGTAGTTTGCACCTATAAAACCGTACCCCTCGGAAACGTGGAAAAATGATATCAGATTCTAAAGCTAAAGAATTTATATTTTGTCGCTTTACATATATGTTTTACATATCGTGTCAGGGGCACTTGCCAGCTCTCCCATTAAAGAATATTTTCTACCAACACTGTTTTCCTCGTTGATTTCGCATATAGAGATTCACGATGTGGTGTTTGTACTTGTTACGATGCAAATGAAATTCCAAGGTGTTTTGTATAATGCAGATAATATATTTTAATGTAGTTATTACAATATAATTTTAATATAATTACTACGATATTATAATAATTATTTCAATATGTTATTTTAAGCGTTGGAATATTTTCGTGAACGAATGTACGTAACTGAAGCAGTAAAATACGTATCTGCAAAAGATTTGCGAGATATTAAAGAGCTGCGGGAAATCGTTGGTTCTAATGAACGCGTCGGAGCAAGTTATTTGTCATGCCGTGGTCTTGGGTTATTCAGATTAAAATCAGAAATTTGAACCGGAATAGAAGAAACTGCAATGCTGGCGCCGTCGAACATAAGCGTTCATTACGGGGCTTTCTACATATCTCTCCGACGGATCTTAATTCTATGAGATTCTTAAACGACGCT